AAAAGCAATATATTATGCTTTGAAAATTCAAGAAAGCATCTATGTGCTATACTTTGAACGTTTGAACTCTCTGATCAAACCCGTTGTACAGAAAATTCAATGAAAAATAGCATTCTAAATGCAAAAGTCCTCGAATTTCCTCATTTCTAATGTATTTACTGCTCTCGACGTCTTCTGGCTATTATCCAACTTCCGAGGGACAATAGTATTCCCACTAATTCTTTCGATACATTGTTCTTCCATAATTCAAACCATATCATCGTAACGCTATTCTCACGCTTTATATGCGTACGATGTCAATAAGCTTCTCATTCTCACCGTACTTCAGCCTAAACTTCCAATCTTACGTATAATTTCACGGTCAAAGAAAGCAAATACTACGTCATAGCTGGTCATAAAAGGAAAGTATAGGGCTTAAGTGTCGTATAGACGTAGATGGAAGGGATGTAAACTAAGAATCACATTAGTTACCCTATGAATTGCATGCATACAAATGAGATAGCAGCTATACCTACATATACGACATATTTTGGTCATTTGCTTACCTTACCGCCAGCATTCTGAACATCACACCATCCATTGTAGCATGGGACACCGCCAGCGTCCGAAGAGCATTGGCATCTGAATCATCGGAATTAATTAGGAAGCTAAAAGGACAGAATTGATGTTCTTCGTTATGGTTTTTGTTTTATTTGCAGAGAATCGCACAAAAGAAAAGAACTAAAAAAGCTACAAAAAAGGGATTTCTATGGGAAGAATACTTGAACAAAGCTGGCCCTCCCCCTAGCTTCTTAAAATCCCATTGAAACCGAAAATTGTTAAAACTTTCTTCGCATAAAATATACAAAGACAAGCCAGAAGGGAAATGACTTAGGCGAAGTCAATAATTTCTGCAAATTTATTTTAAAATGCTTCAAACATTCCAAACCCACTATCTCTCTCCCCTTTCCTTCTCTTCTCTGCATCTGCTACCAAAATATACCAACTTCTCTCTTTATCTTAATATCTTCCCCAATTATTATTTATTTCTACACAAAAACCTGAGCGCAAATTACCGAAACGAGGTACCGCCTCGGCAAAGCAAAACCAACATTACAATCATTTTTAATTATTCTACTTCGCCGAGATCTCAAACACAATATTTCTCCGCCAGTAGGGAAGAAAACATGAAAAATTCAATATTCTTCAGCTATTGACCGACGTAGGCCATTGAAAAAGATCAAAAAAATATAAAAGCGATGTGATTGTTTAGAAGCTTTATACAAAGCGAGCTTGAAAGAATCGCTTTTCGAAAAAGCAAGAAATTCACCGCGTCTGACAAATAATGAAGAGATCTGTCAATATGGCTTTCAGCAAAACATCCAAAAACCATTAGAAATTTATATTTCCTTTTCCGGACTAATTTCTTTGAGAAAAGATTTGCAAGTTAGATCATACGCAAACAATGAAAGAGATCAGAAATCGAATTATAGTGCAAACATAAAGATTTGCTGTAATGGAACCTTAACGAGGTTAAACTCAAAAATCAATATTCAGGATAAATTAGAAGAATGCAATTATTCAAAAAACGTCAATGCCAAAACGTAAAAAAATGCTTTTGATACACATCACTTATTTTTATGAGATAACAGATTGTTGCAACATGAACAACTGCC